AAATTATATTTAAATATTTTAGGCAGGCATGGCGACTCATGCCTGTAATCCAGAATTTTTGGAGGTCAAGACAGACAGATCACTTGAGGCCAGAAGTTGGAGACCAGCCTGGGCAGCATAACAAGACTTTGTCTATACAAAAAATAAAATAAAATTTTTATTGAGTGTGATAGGATGCACCTGTAACCTCAGGTACTTGGGAAGCTGAGGAGAGGGAATCGCTTGAGCCCAGGAGTCCGAGGCTGCAGTAAGCAATGATCACACAACTGCACTCCATCCTGGGCAACAGAGCAAGATCCCATGTCTAAAAAATAAAAACAATACAAAATGTCCAAAGATACACAGAATCTTTTAATAACATTGTCTTTTAATTATACAGTCTTATAGATGTCTTAAAATTTTAAATATAAATAAAGGGATTAATATCTCTATTGTATCTTCCTGATCTTTCTCTCTCCCCAACAAAAATGGACATACAGAGACACACACATACATACATACATACGCATACACTCACACACACAAGGAATAACAGATGCTATTTCATTGATGCATATATTAGTAGACTGTCACATATGGTGTGGTGTGTTAATTAGTTCATTAATCTGGAAAACTGCCACAATACTATGTATCCATGTTTACAGTTTTACAAATATCTTTTATAAACTAGATTAAAAAAACAGCAATCCATTGGAATACAGAACATTGTAAGGCTAGATTTATGCACATAAAAGAAAATGTAAATGAAACACTATATTCAAGATGACTGTTAATCCTTTATCAAATATTTTCCCATTAAAACATGCAAATAGGAAAATTTAACTAAAAGAAGACAAATTGTCATAAAGTAAAATCAAATGAGCATGTGGCCTGAGGTAAATTGTACCAATGGGATTAATTTGACAAGTTTATTTTTATCAATTTCTGCTTCAATTACTCAAGCTACATTTCTAATATGAGTCAAATAACGTGCTGGTAATTTATGATATTTATATCAAATAACACGTGAATAAGATATTTAATGATCCATAAAACATATTTGTACTGAGGTGGATCAAAAACTTTCTTATTTTTGGTTTTCAAATATATAGAAATTATTTACAAAGAGTTTAATATAATAGAAATTGTGCATAAAGTCATTGGTTACTCTATAACTGTGCTATTTAGCTCACTATCGTCCACTTTGCTAATGCTATAGTGCAAAGGTATTTTTTCACCCAGGGCTGTTACATATCAGAAACAAACACCACTCTATCTAGTTCAGAGAGAAAAATGTTTTTGTTTGTTTGGTTTTGGTATTTGGTTTTGATTTTTAACATGCAACTCAAAGATTCTCCATAAGTCCTTAAAAACATTGCCCAAACTTGTCTTAAGGCTGCCTATAACCTGCTATCACTAGCTCAGCACAAAACTTGAGTTACTAAAGCCCCTATCGCTTAGCCAAATAATGAATTCCATGCGGTCCCGGCTTCTTTACATTACTCTGTTCTGAATCAAAACTCTATTCTCCTTTGTCTGATTGGGTGGCCTAAATTACTTGTCTGTGACCTACCTTCAAAGGATTCTGTAAAAGAATAACACTGGCTTATAATGAGGGTAGGGCCATCCTCCATATTAAAGGGTGTTCAAGAGATGTCAGGGGACTTTATGCATAGCAAATGTCTACTAGAGCCCATCTCTTAGCTGTCCAACATGCTTGTACACCTGTCTTCCATACTTCAACTTCCAAACAATTATAATACCCAGAGCTACCACAAAAATATGTTTCTCCCTTACATATTTTAAGTATCATTTTAAAAATTGGAAATAAAATATGTACTGACTTTTTAGGTCACTGTATTAAACATGACTTAAACAGAGGGTTTTCAGTTAATTCTATGTGGTACATTTATGTGCATTCTACGTGATAAAGAAAATAAAATACGAAGGGTAACATTAATGAAATGGTCTTGATAACTCACATCTTATAAACGTCTTGATGATTTGTCAGGATTTCTAAGCAATATCCATTTTCCTCTTGTCTCATCCTTGTTCTATCTTTATACAATTCCACATACAAATTTTAAAGTTTAACACCACTAAATAAGTATATAACATAGCTACAGAAGTCAATTGAGGAAAAGGGAAATTATTTCAGATATATACATAAATATGTTACTGTGAAGAAACCACATTAATCTAATACTTAGCTTTACATTTGGTCACAAAGCTATACAATTGGTATTTAATGCCTTCTTTCTCCACTACCCTGCCATATGTTCTTTTCTCATATCCGCCACCTCAGATGATCTAAGTGTGTTATTGGTTGAGGTGATCCAAACCTTCATTCCTGAAAAAGATGATTTTATCCTGGTCCTGCCCATAGGGATTTATGAAGTCTTTCATATACTTGTATCATTCAGTTCCAACTAGACTGTCTTTCTTCATTACATAGCAGCACTTTTACAATTATAATCTGTATAATTAACTAGTTCAACACTGAAAACCCTCATTTTACCAGTTCAAATAGTGGCATCAAGAACCCCATGTTAGAAAATGATACTTTAGATTTTATTTCAATGAAGTCATTGTTGCATTCCTTGATGAACACTTTCAGTGCATTACCACCTTGAATTGCTAAGAAATTTAAATAAGAGGTAGGCAAACTATTTCTGTAAAGGGCCAGATAGTAAATATTGTATGTTTTCCAAGCCATATGTTCCCTTTTACAGCTACTCGATTCTACTGTTATTACATGAAATCAGCCATAGACAACATATAAATAAATAGATTTTGCTGCGTTCCAATAAAATTCTTTAAAAAAAAAACCAAAACAGGTGGTAGACTATGTTGGGCCCAGAGGCCTTACATAACAGACCCCCTTCGTTAAACCATCAAAATAGGAAGTCATAGAAACAATAAGCAAATAAATCTGCAAATGAAATATTACAGCATTAAACTTCTAGTGAAAAACGCCAATAACAATTCCATATTCTTCCATCCTAAACCTGTATATTCTGGATATGAGGGAAACATCACAGTGTACTGGTATATGTGTTCATTCTCACACTGCTGTAAAGAATTGTCTGAGACTGGATAAGTTATAAAGGAAAGAACTTTGATTGACTCACAGTTCAGCATGACTAGGGAAGCCTCAGGAAGCTTACAATGGTGGTAGAAGGGAAAGCAAACGCGTCCTCCTTCACATGGGAGCAGGAAGGAGAAGAATGAGAGCCCATTGAAGAGGGAGGCCCCTTATAAAATCATCGATCTTGTGAGAACTCACTCACTATCATAAGAGCATGTGGATATTGTGGGAACTACAATTTAAGATGGGATTTGGATGGGGACATAGTCAAACCATACCAGTTGGTTTCTGGTTCAAAGCATATTGCATATCTGGTAAGATGGCAACCCACGGTTGCAAATTGCCATCTTGGACTGAATCTTAGCAAAGGTTGTAAAAGGGTCTATTCTTCTGGTGAATAAGTTATAATCAAAGACCTAGTAATCAAATATTTTACTAAGTTCAGCCAATGACCTTACTCTTCTTGTTGTACATGATAAGAAGCAATGTTTCATAGGATTCATGGTGATTAAGATAATCAGTAATTCCACAGATAGTTTTACCGGAAGAGATTTAAGGACATCAAGTAAACCCCAAACTATTGTTTTAATGACATAAACTTACTGGCCTTAAATGACGAAAGCATATAATAGTGTTTTCAACCTGCTACCTGGTGGTTACCTGGTACCCTCTGTATATTGTAACATGTGGAAAGTTGCTGTTGGACTTTTTGCAAATTAGGCACTTAGTAATAGCAAGAGCAAGGTCAACCTTCATGATAGGAAGTCCATATTATTGATCCCATCTGCAGTCCCAATATTTTTCACCATGGAACCATGGCAATACTTTTATTAATCCATTAAGTGTTCGTTCATTAGGATAACTGGAGGAAAGGGGCTAAACTTATCTATGTGATTGTTGAAATGTATAATATTACCCTTCTCCTAATACAGTCTTTATGGTAAATAAGCACATATTCCTTTGGGGAAAATATGAGAAAACAGTACCACACAGAGTCTATTCTCAAAGTTCCCATCTTAACCTTTAATTAAGAGGCCCTGGCTCTGTGATATGAGCACACAAGTTTAAGAATTACATAAGGATACTGTTTACACTTTGAGGCTCAGGTCAAGTTTCTTTATGCAGATATAATATTTAGTTATACATATCAAGTGATACCTAACGGGATCTGATATATTTTGGACCTGACGATACTGGAATATTTTTTGCTACCATCAAATGTACAAGTCAATCAGGGTGTTGAGATTGTAATCTATCCCTGATTCACGATACAAATCCCCTTGTCTCTGGTAGGTAAGTGAAGCTAATTGGTTTCTGCCAGCCAGTGTCCATCTACCCATATGGCTCAGTTTATTAGGGCTGTCATCACAAAATACCGTGGACTGGATGACTTAAATAACAGAAACTAATTATTTTATACTTCTGAAGTCTACAAGTCCAAAATCAAGGTATCAGCAAATTTGTTGTCTTCTGAGGTTTCACTTGGCTTGTAGATGGTTACCTTCTTCCTGTGTCACTACATGGTCATCCTTTAGTCTGCACGTGTCTGCATTCTAATCTCTTTTTATTAGAACACCAATCACATTGGAGTAGAAGCTGTTACCAGTGGCAAAACCACGCAGGTCTGTGGCAAACTCAATCCTTGCCGCCTCAGAGGAAAAAATGCGACTGAAGAGCAGAAGTAGGTTTAAGGCAGAGTGTGAGACAGAGCCAACTTTTAGAACAGAAGTAAGGATTTATTAAAAAGGTTTAGAACAGGAACGAAAAGGGCCAAAGAGCAGTTGGAAGAGGGCCAAGCAGGCGACTTGAGAGATTCACGTGGCCCAGTTAGCCCTGGATGTGGCGTTTCATGCATTGGCATGGTTCTGGGGTTTGCATTTCTCCTCCCTTCTCCTGTGGTTTTTCCCTTGGGGCAGGCTACCCACATGCTCAGTGGCCTGCTAGCCCTTGAGACGGGCCACCTGTGCAGTGTGTTTACTGAAGTTGTGTGCATTCCTAGAGGAAGGTCATACACTGCTGAATCTCCACTGTTTTAGCTCTTAGTGTGCATGCTTGAGCCAACTCCCCCAACTCCTGAGATCTTACCGGAACATGCTGATCATCGGCTTCAGCGTTTTCTCTCTACTGGGAGACCATCTTTCCCTGGCGCCAGCTACAACCAAAAATAGTATTACCACCACCTGACCATAGCCTGTGGTCACCTGACATTCTTTGTGGGGGCCCTCTCCTACCTTGATCATGTCTGCCTAACTGCCTGCTGTAACAGAACTACTGGCACATAGCATCCAGAATTTCTGATCATTTCATCCACATAAATAAATTCCATTTCATCTAAAATGATGTTCCTCCTTTGTGTTCTAACATCATCACTATCCACACTTATTTTCAGAGTTTTGGTTTATGTGAAATAGCAAAATCTTCCAATACTTTGGTACCTAGACCTTTTATAATCTGGATTGATACCTTATATTTCACATGGAGACAATATTAGAATCTAACTCTAGCTATTTTTATGAACCATAACTGGTATTGGTTGTGGGTTATGAAGAGAATTAATTTATTCTTGGCAAGAGAGTTTTAATGTTTTTCAGTAAAGCAAAAAAAAAAAAAAAAGAAAACAACCTTGTGATCTTTGTGATATGGGAAGAAAAGGTTGGTTATTATGGAAATTGGGCACAGTGGGATTTAGATGGTTAAGGTGCTTATCCATTCAGTCTTAAATTCTGAAGAATGTTCACTTTTCAGTTCTCAGAGTCCTATGTTTTCCATAATAATGTCCTAAATGTCACATCAGAAACCTAGTGAACTGTAAATTAAATGTATTTTTAGTTTGATATTTGGTATTTATTTGCACCCAATATGCTGTTTCTTTAATCCACTAGATCATTAATTTGGTTGTTATATTTTTTCATTATATATAAAATCTATTTGACTCTTCTACAAGGCTATACAGTTTATAAAATTTAAAATAAATCTTCTTAATAATTTGTCTTGTTTTCAATCCTCTTTTATACTTATTAAAGTGTTTTAAATATACCTAACTAATATTATGTCTTATCAATATCTGAACTCTTCAAGTCTGTGTCTAATGCCTGTCCTTTCTTTCTGCTAACTCACTTTCATCATTGCTTATTTAATCAAGTGTTGTATGAATTTTGGCCACAAAATATCTTGGAACTTTATCTGTGATGGTTATTTAAAATCATTGTGAAGTTGTATTCTTCCTGAAATGGATTTCATAGTCTTAAACTGGTTGCAGAAAATCAATGTCAACTATAGACTACTTTAAATGAAATTATCCATGTGTTTTAAAATCATATAAACAATTTAAATATACCAGGACTCAACATAACTACTGGTTTGTAAATCCTATATTTTCAATCAAGATTTCTCTTGCCTTGTCTTCATTTACCCAATTTCTAGGCAAAGAGAGGATGTTTTATTTACTGCTTGTTTCTGCTTTGAGAGTTTATTTCTTGTCCAATGTTGCATTGAACTATAATATCTGGGAACCTTAGCTTTATGTACATTATTATACTTTGTATACTGAGTGGGTAATATGCTTTATTTTTGTTAGATTTCATCTTGTGCAACAATTAAAATAAAGGTCAAATTTATTGTTTTGAAATAGATATTCACAGTGAAAACTAACTTTGTATTACCTTACTACACAAGGTTTTCCATTTTTGTTATTTCTCTTTAAATCTTTGACTTGTTGTAATTCAAGGATGCATTTTTAAACATTAAAATGTTACCAAGATTTTAGAGGTATATTTATCAGAAGGTTCATTCATGAAATATACTACATACATTGTTTAATATTTTATAGGAGAAGAACATCTAGGAGAATAATTTTCTTGTTGGTGAAAGGTAATAAAAAGCATGTTTGTGTTTGATTAACAGATTTTTCACTGAAGGTTTGTAATGACTTGTTATTTTAAAGCCTACATGTTACTATTTACTTATTAAAGAGTTATGGTTATTTGCATGCGTTGTGATTCTTAGACCTTCAAGAATATTAACAAAGATGACTTACCCTTAGAAGGCTTGAGAGATATATAAAACTCCCACTTCCCATTAATTTATTACAAGTAATAGGCCAATATAAATTATTGATTTCTTTTTTTAATCTATTCTAATATTAATAACATGTATTCTATCACAACTACACATCAGAATAGTGCATATCCAGTGACATATTATTTCTTACATACCTATGAAAAATGTTATTTTTAAGAAAACAAAAATAGTGATTGACAGTGATTGTGTATTCACTAAAAAATATTACTACTAAGTACAAATATGTTAGTCACAATATTAAAAATGTTGAATTCAATATTACTGTTAAATATAGAATTTATTTGGGAAGGATAAAAGGAACAAAATTTGTTTCATTACATCTCGCATTGACTGATTTTCCTTGACTAACTTTTCTTTCACCAGACTAAGAAAAAGCAGTAACAAATTAAAATGGCACAAAGCAGCTGTTTACACTTTTATTAGATATATTGAGGATTTATTTTTGGATTTTGGATTTTATTTCTTATAATATAAAACATGTTGTATTATAGAGAAATAGGGGTAATGCATTTGGTTTATTTAATAATTGGGGGATGAAGTTTTTATATAGAAGGGTTTTATATGTTGAAAAATAACAGTACAACTAATCTAAAATAGAAGTTATCAGCAGTAGAAAACACAGAAAAGTTAATTTTATTTAAATTAATCATGAATATGTATGCTGAAATGGTTGAGTGTATTTCGAACTATATTACTCTAGAGAGAATCTTAATTAATATCCATTTGAGTGATTATTAAAACTGAAAATTCCCAATTCTGCAACTCAACGAAAAGTTCTCATTAATTTAGGATAATAGGTATTCCACATTTTCAAACATTTCCGTTCTGGTAATGATTTACGAATACTAACTACAGTATTATGTTTTAGAAAGCTTTATTATGGAATTGTTGTGACCTTTCAGGTAAACTAACACAATATCTATATAGGCATTCCACATTTCTCATGCTATCTTATAGCTTATGCATTTATTACAGGCGTGAGTAACAATGACTATAGGATTAAACACTCAGCAGTTTATTCTTACACAACATAATTCTCTGGTGAGCAGTGTAAGGCTGGTTTGGTGGTTTACAAAGTTGTAGGGACTTATTTTTTTTTTCTGCTCCTCTGAACATAACTTCTGTTCTTGAGATAACTTTTTTCATTAGAGAACTTCAGTTTTATTTACATATCTGCACTCTTCTGCACAGCCATGACTTATCAGAAGATGTTCCCAGTCCCAGTTACCAGAGAGTTTATCAGAATGTGCTGAAATCACACTTCTCCCTCACTAGTTATTGGTTCAGACATGAATACGCAAGACAATTCTGGCCAATGACCTAGCAGAAGACTGACAAGCAGTCTTCTATGAAATGAATACTCTCATTTTAATAAGATAAGAAAGTTTACTTTTGCCTTTGAACATTCCCTTGTATATTTGTGTTCTGAATTCATTAGTGTTATCTTGAAAACATAAATGGAGCTCACCTGTGGAGAAAGCTCACCTGTTGCCAACGGCAGAAGACAGCGATGGAAAATGTTAACAGTCCTGAGGAAATCTTGGTCCATGAATAAAATCACGAAGTCTCCTCCAGGTCTGTCATCTGCATAGTGAAAACATTCTGATTGTTAAAATGAGCATGTAAATTTCCTGGTCAACATAGTGAAACCTCGTCTCTACTAAAACATACAAAAATTAGCTTGGTGTGGTGGTGCGTGTCTGTAGTCCCAGCTGCTCGGGAGGCTGAGGCAGAAGAATTGCTTAAACCAGGGAGGTGGAGGTTGCAGTGAAGATTGTGCCACTGCACTCAAGCCTGGTGACAGAGCAAGATTCCATCTCAAAAAACAAACGAACAACAACAACAAAAAACCACTTTGCTTTTGTATGTGTAACAAAGTACTATGACTTTATAATAGCATCAGTACAGAGTAGTAGATTGGATAGTCAAATATCTGGGCTTAAATCCTGGCTCAGTAAGGTACGTTGGTCATAGGTAAACATTGCAATTTATCATTAAACAGAACTTGCAAAAATGAAAATGTGGACGTTTTATTTGGGTGTTCACACCCAGAATGGAGAGACTGAAGAAAAGGAGAAGAGAAGAAAAGAAAGATGTAGCAAAGGAGAATAATCTTAGTGCCCTTCTTTACTGGTTCACAAAGAACCAGGAAGAGACGCAATTAGTCCCGCAACAGATGAGTCTTCCTCACAATGAGATTCCTTCACACAAACAAACTCTATCTTAAAGAAGTCCATGGGAGAGAAGAAGGGAAAGGAATTCAACTGCCTGACTTTTTTCTGTCTCCTTTATTTCCCTTTGACTAAAATTTATCCTCCCTGGAGTTAACTTCCTCACACTTCTGGGTTTATCATGTGTTCCATTTCACTGACCCTCAGGATGTTAGATCCACGCCCCATGCTGTCATATTTCACTTAAAGCTGGTGGGAGTGGCCATCCCCTGAGGGTTAGTGGCTATAGGTCAGCTCTACTGCAGTGTACATCAGACAGAGCCTAGCATTCCAAGACAAATGGTGCTGCCATGCCCTTTAAAGGAAGGGCAACCCAAAGGGAAAGGTGGTGACGGACACTGTATGTCTACGGAGCAAGTTCTTTTATCACTCTCTGCTTCAGTTTCCTCATTTGTAAGATATGTGGAATAACAGTACTTATATCACAGGGTCACTACAAATGCTGCTCTCTTAAAACTTAAAAATTCTTAGAACGACATGTCACTTAAGGCTCATGCCTTTTTAGATCAGGTTATTCTACGAATAGAAACAAAAAGTGAGATACAGGTCATCAGTGTTCTAAGACAGAAATCCACCTTGTTACAAGGAGGAAAACACCTGGCATTTGCTTTTCCTTTTCACTTTTCTGTTAATCTTTCCTACCATGGCATTTTTTTTTAATGACATTTCTAAGCAGCCTTAGAATTTTTCTCAACACACATCTCCAGCACTTAATTTTAAAAACATTGGAATGACAATCTGTACCCTTCATCTGTAACGAATAAATGCTAACCAAATTAAATAATTTTATAATTAATATTTTATTACAGAAGCCAAAATTTAAAAAAATATTAAAATAAAAGTGATCAGAAGTAGAATTACCAAGTGTGTGGTCACTGGAAAGCAGCTATTTGCTCTCTGTAATCTAACTTAGCAAAATATTTTTGTCTTAACGGACATGTGATCAGTCTTCACTTTATGTCAAGTTTTTATGTTTTCTTTTCTTCTTTTGAGGCAGGGTCCAACTCTGTTGCCCAGGCTGGAGTGCAGTGGCACAGTCATAGCTCACTGCAGCATGCAACTCCCGAGCTCAAGTAATACTCTCACTTTGGACTTCAGGCATGAGCCACTGTGCTCCGCTCAAGTATTCAGAGGAAAAAATATACATATATTAAAAATATTAAAAATAAAATTAAAGAAATCTAAAATTTTCCCAAATAGAAATTGCAAGTATTACATGCCTATAATTATCATTTGAGATTAAAATAAATAATACACTGTCTCTTAAAAATAAGCAAAATGTTTTGAAATATGAAAAAAATGATTCTATGTTACAAACAAAAATGTTATAATGTAGTCAATTGAATGTGGGTATCCCCCTGCAAAATTCACGTGTTGAAATTTTAACTGCTATGGTGATGGTACTAGAAGGCAGGGCTTTTGGGAGATAATTAAGCTAAGAGGTTAAAGCCATCAGGAATGGGACTAGTGCCCTTACAAAACAGACCCTGAGGGCCGGGCATGCTGGCTCACACCTGTAACCTCAGCACCTTGAGACGTCAAGGTAGGAGGATTACCTGAGGTCAGTAGTTTGTGACCAGCCTGGTCAACGTGGTCAAACCCCGTTTCTACTAAAAGTACAAAAATTAGCTGGGCATGGTGGTGTGTGTCTGTAATACCAGCTACTCGTGTGGCTGAAGTGGAGAATCGCTTGAACCTGGGAGGTAGAGGTTGCAGTGAGCCGAGATTGTGCCACTGCACTCCAGGCTGGGCAACAGAGTGAGGTTCCATCTTAAGTAAATAAATAAATAAATAAATAAATAAATAAACCCTAAGAAGCTTCCTTGCCTCTTCACCATGTGAGGACACAGTGAGAGAAAAGCCTTCTCTTAACCAGGAAGCCAACCCTCACCAGTCAATGAATCTGCTGGTTACCTTGATCTTGGGCTTCTCATCTTCTCTGGAACTGTTTAAAAACAAATGTTTGTTGTTTAAGCTATAGTCAGTGTGTATGTATATACATATACATAGTTTTGGACATTGAAACATTGAATACATTTATACCCTGCTATCATGGTTAGACTGTGACTTCAGAAGGGTCGGACAAAAAGATTCTATAATTTTCAAAGAAACAAAGATTGACAGGAACAGAATCATGTTCTCCTAAATCACTATAGAAAGGTCATGAGCGAATGTCTTATTCCCTTTTACAGTCTAACTATGAATGCCGTCAAAAGACCTGTAAAAGTCCTGGGGAAGGATACCAATGCAAGTGTGGCAGTCTCCTTACTCCCACGACCGTGAGAAATTGAAAGAAAATTTTGCACAGTGTGTGTTCTTAATTACTCTGGTTATGTTTTTGTTTGTTTTTCTTTTCTTTTTTAAATAAACACACGTTCCTCTGTCTTATATTGACGGTGATTATTTGCTTCGATGCCTTTTGCATACTTTTTCGTTTTCTATAGTGAGGTATTTATGTGTTAACCTACACGTTTTATCAAGGCACTTAAAGAAAAGCTAATGACAGAACTGAAAAAGAAACAGAAACATTGAAAGAGATAAGAATCTCGTTAGTATTATATTCGAAGTTTTTTCCCATTTGAGAATGCATGTATTTTGAATAGCAAGAGCATCTTCTACTTGGTAGAATCTAACTGAAGGTAAGCATTATTCCACATGATTAAACTTGCCTTCTGAGGAAAAATGTAAAGCATCTGTAAAGATTAGAAACAGAAATATTTGCCAAAAAGGCTATTCAAAAATAAGCAATGAGCATTCACTAACAAGGAACAGATTTATCTTCTGCGCAAAACTCTGAAATTTGGCCTCTTAAGAATTAACGGATGGCAGCAGCTATTATATGAAGATAAATGCATAATTACCAGGATTTCAATGAGTCTTTATCACAGCAGTCTGAACAAATTATGAATTATGGGTTAGAGATAAACTAGTTGACAGAAGACAATGCACATGTGTGTTTTTGCCTCATTATTGAATGATTAATTGCAAAAAGGCAAAAATCAAATCCCTATACACAGAAAAGAAAGTCACCATACCTCACTGCAAATGGGCTTGAACTAAAATTTGTAAAGTAGAAATTGGCATAATTCTGTAACAAAAGGAAAAGAACCAAATTAAAAGGAAAATAATTTGCTTTACTTAAAATATTTAGATAACAAACGATTTAAATATGCAAAGCAAACTTCTAGTGCCAAATGGCCACGTGGTTTGGTAGTTAAGTGCAGGCATCCGAGACCCTAGGCCAAGGTTTTATGCCTTTTCCCTGGTTATAATCCTACCACTTCCAATTACTAGAAAGGGAATGAATAAGTCATTTCACCTCCTTTTTTCTCATTTTCTTCTGTAAAAATGTAAATTATATAAATACAACCTATGGTGGTGTTGTCCTGTCCACATGCCACATCAAGTTCACCTGTTCATGTTGTCATGCACTAATATGTAATGTGCTTAGAACTGCCTGACTTGTGGTAAGTACGTATTATTTGTTTTTTGTTTTTTGTTTTTTTTTTTTTTTTTTTTGAGACGGAGTCTCGCTCTGTCACCCAGGCTGGAGTGCAGTGGCCAGATCTCAGCTCACTGCAAGCTACGCCTCCTGGGTTTACGCCATTCTCCTGCCTGAGCCTCCCAAGTAGCTGGAACTACAGGCGCCCGCCACCATTATTTAATGATTATTTGATATTTTTTTCCTGAATAACATAATTTTGCATTTTGACAAAATTCTTTAATGAGAATAAGTAGATTCATTGCCAGTATTTACTACTGTAAGTTCAATATGTTTAACTCTATTGGGTCATGCTTGAATATGAAGCAAATGAAAAAATGATTTGTAATATAATATGAATTACATCATATGGCTACATGCTCTTATTTTTAAAATTACAAAATTAACAAAAGTATCCCAAACATTTCCCATTAAGTCCTCACCACTAGCCCCGGGAGCAAATTTCAACATGAGGCTTTGAGGGACAAACCTCCAAACTATAGCAATGTAAGACACTGAATTAGTAATGTATACCATGCACATAGTCTTGTTAGCCTTCTGAGAATCATTTCTGAATCTCAGTATTAAATGAAAAGAAAATCATTGTGATTTTCAATGAATTGTGATTTTCAATGAAGAAAATCAATGTGAGATAGAACAGACAATACAGGAGCAATTTCATACACTGTTAGGTTGAAAATATAAAAAAATAAACATTTTGTAAGCAACTTCAAACAGAAACCTGCTAATTATGAGGATGGAAAGATAGCAGAAAGATTTCTTGGCCCTATCACTAAATGTGCATTGAAATTTCTTGTAACTGTGTTTACTATGCATTCTATTAGAAGTTTCCTTGCTTATATTACCAGTTC